GGCAAAAATCCTCCGCCAAGGAAGGAAGAGGAAGTGTATAGCCGACAACAAATGGGTACGCGTAAAGTGCACAATACCTTGGGCGATGTACCTGCACTACATCGCTACCAGCAGGAATAAGTTTGATGTGGGCCGGGATTCACCATTTAGCCCTAAATGCAATGAGCGTCTCCGCATCCATCTCAGAAACGACGGGTTCATGATCGCCATCAGGTGGGTTCTTGAAGTCTAACTTGGCCTTCCCTGAACGTGGAATTATCTCATCCACGGTGGGGAAATTCTCGTCTTCTACCATGACTGCTCATCCTTCATGAGGAGGCATGTCTACAGCCAAAGCTACAGGATCAGAGTCTCCCTCAAGATCAACGGGGCACTAGCCATTTTTCTGATTGTGTATGAAAAGGAAATGCAAAAGTGAAAAAGATGAAAATGGCGGAATACGCTAAAGGGAGAAAGAAAACACGGGTGCAAGAAATTTAAAGAAGGAAAAGCTTGGGGTTTTAAAAGCTTAAGAAATGCAACAGCTCAAGTAAGAAATGCCCATCCCTATTTATAAAAATATGGGCACCCTGATCGAGAAAGCCCACGTCATTAATTTCGAAATGGAAGAGGCACGGGAAATGACGTAACGTATTGGGAACATGCACCATAATGACGCATGAGGAAATGATGTCATTTCAAACTGACGTAACGGTCAGATGTGGCTCTTGACGCGCCACATCATCACCTCGCCATAAAAGGGTCACTCATCGGCCAACGTGCTCAGATTTCTCAAAATTACAACTGGCGAAGTCAGCCCATCGAGCTCGTCCAAAGACAACCCCGACGGGCGGAGGGACTAACTGTATGGGTCAAAATCTGATCAAGGGGACCTCGCCTGAGAGAGGACAATCGAGTCAATTAGGCCGAGGTCATGCTTAAAAAGTAACATTGGCGAGCCGAGCAGCAAAGGTCGAGGTCGAACACTCAGATCGGCCAAAATGGCTAGTTTAGCAATAAGATATTTTAAAGCGGTATGTAATATTCTATATGATAAGCTCTCTCTAAAAAAGTTGACTCTCAAGTAACTACAAACATTATCTTTACAAAAGATTCGAGTTGTTGTTTTCCCCAGCTTTCTCACATCAGGTCCGAGAAAGTTTTCTATATTCCCACGTTTGATTGCCTTACATCATTGTCAGTGAGAGAATCATCCACCTCATTAAATATTTGGGCGAATCATTCTCTCTATTTATATTTATTGCCATTTATTATATTTATTGCTTGTCATTATCCCCTCATTCATTCATAACAATATCATTAAACACCCTCTTGGTATTTAATAGCCTTGAATGCGGTATTTATATTATTGCTATCCATCAATCTTTGGTACAAAAGAAAATTGTTTTCCATGGAAAATGAGTGATTTTATCACTTATTTTCCCTTGTTTGGTTCGTGAGTGAAAATTTTTTTCCAAAAATTTTAGTGTTTGGCTAAAGAGTAGAAAATAATTGTTTGGCTATTCTTCTCACTTCTCCCTTTCTCAGGTCCCCATGTGTTCATGTGCTCCCTCCTTCCCCCNCATTGTTGAGCCAGACATGAATAAAGTTTGGTATGGCGCTCTTAATTTTGCTCAAAAGGAATTAGCATGTGCTTGCCATCTGGTGCACTGCAAGCTTATTGAAGTCCATAAGACTATAGCCAGTTTACCAAAGGCCGTGAGCCTAGTATTTCTTAACTCGAACCTTGAGGACAAGGTTCTTATTGAGGAGGGGAGTATTGTTGTGAACATGGATAAGTTAGATAATGCTTATGGGCCAGTTATTTGGACAAAGGTTGGCCAAGCTATTGGGCCTGGGGCTAAACCACTATATGGCCAAGGAATTAGACAGCCCGACGATACATTTGCTTGGGATCCAGGTTGAGTAGGGAGTACGTGACAAAGGAGATAAAAGGGTGTCATCGGCAGTTTTAGGAATTATGCGAATTGTGATGTTGAATATGTTCTCTCTCATCTCTGCTCTGTATTTCTGATTTCCTCATCTCCTTGTATACCGGTCTCTGTTTCTCACCTCTTTATTCTTATCAGTTTTCTATGTCATTTCAATTGCTATTCCTTGTAATTCTGTTTAGTAAGGGAAATACTACAAGTGAGTTTCCTTGTGTGCGAATTGGTTATTTCACGCTTGTTACAAACAGCCTCTCTACCTGCTTCAGGTAGGGGTAGGTATGTTGTTGTTCACTAAAGCTGCGGTAGATGAGTTCGTGATGATTATTGTAGCTGGGGTTCGAGCTCGGAATCTCCAGATTGTTACTTCTATGACTAAACCATTTAACAATTCCCTTGCATACAAGCTCTATGTTACAACAAATCTAGCGAAGTTAACTACGTGATCCAGCAAAGGCACAACATTTCAACAAATAAATAGCATACAAAAATCTAATCATGTACACACATTATGCAAATATTCCCAATCTCAGCAGCTAAAGATTAGTAGACTCACTTTACTACGCCTTCCCAGATCTTTGAACCGTCCACCTGACTCCACTCTTTCATTTTCATCCCCAGCTTCCTAAATTAATATAACATAAGCAAACATTTAAAATAAAAACGTATAAATACAAAGTGAACAGAGTTTTAGGCAATACCTGAGTAGAGATCAAAGGGGAAGTGATGAGAAGTAAAAGGACTAGAAATGTAAATTTAGGACGAAGAATCCATATATTTCTTGGGTTTGATTGCAAACCCATGATTGTTTTTGTATTTCGGTGATAGATTTTTCAGCCCAATTCTCGAGATTTTACGGTGGAACAGACGAGAAAAGGTTTTTCAGAGATCAAGAAAAGGGAATTGGGATTTACACAGAAGTGTTTGTAGTCGGACAAGAGGGAGTAGTTAGAGGAGATCTTGCGGGTACGCGTTGTGAACAATGGGATTTGGTAGCAACATCTCCCCAAATGCAGACCTCCCTCCCCAAAATGTGGTCCTACTTATTTGACTCATCATAATGCATATTCTAATTTTGAAAAAGAAGAAACAATACTTGTAATTTGTAAATCCACCAATAGTTGAGTTCATGCCCTCTTTTTTCTTTTTTTATAAAAAGGGCCAAAATAACCCCATCATTTTACAAATAGTTTAAATTTACCTTCTTCTTTTTTTGATTTTTCACCCGGTATCCGGTACCACATTGGGCCCGACTAATCCTAATAAGACTTAGCTAGTCAGTTTCTGAAAACCTTATTCATACCATTCTGGAGAGTTCTTGTTGCAGGTTGTGGATATTCATGGGAAGTGCTACACTCTGTTGTACTCTCAAATTTTTGCCAATACATGTGTAGTGAATATGGCCCATGAATATTTATACATATTATCATTCATCAGTGATTAATCCTAAAACTTCTTTTGTTTCTGTATGGGGGAAAATAGGATTTACTTTGCTGCAGGTTTTTAAATCTTATGATGTCAGACGACTCAAGTCTAGGGCAGAAACTTGGCTCGAATGGGTGGAAAGGAGCCGTAATCTGATGCGTAGAACAACCTTCAGCTGAAAATCCATGGAATGGCTATGTTTTGTTCTTCAGGAGGCTTCCAGAGATGCTGGTACACATGTAAGGAAATGGAAATTCAAAGAGCAATATTCAATCCTTTTGGCTCCGGAAGACACAAGTTTGAAGATTTATAAGCTTTGTTTCAGTCCAAGGCGACAAAGAATCCGTAACTATTATTCCTGNAAAAAAAATTCAATATTTTTAGAACTCTATTTTCTTCAAAAATTTTATTATCTTCTAAAAATTCACACAAACCCAAAGGAACTAATATGTTGTTTTTTTTTTTTTTT